CTCTCTCTCTCTCTCTCTCTCTCTCTCTCTCTCTCTCTCTCTCTCTCCCTCTCTCTCTCTCTCTCCCTCTCTCTCTCGCTTTCTTTTGTTTTTTTACTTTTCAACTGCACCCCGTGCAATATCAGTAAGATGACTGATGCTCTGCAATAACCACATAGACCCAACACCTTTCTCACTGGTGTTAACTATCAGCTCCACAGTGTGCAGACCGGTGTCAATATATACTGGACACAAACTTGACAGCTCACTAACAGGTAGCAGACTGAACAACATATCGTTGAAAGCTACATGTATATGGTTGATTGACTTTTCTGTTGAAACATGGCTCCACACTCACTCACCTTCTCTTCTTAGTGTCTCTACAGGTTGAATAGGAGCAGGATTGGCAGGTGTGGGGTGCACTCTGAAGTTCCCTGGGTTGTTAAGACAAGAGACAAAGTAATGTTTAAATATCTTTAAAAGTGTTTCAATTAATTGTTCAAATCAAACAACGTACCGAAGGATGGAAGAATATGGTTGATGTTCAGCCAGGCTCTTATGAAGGGGTAGATCGATATGAGCAGGCCTGGAAAGCAGACAGCATAACTAAATTGATGAATTACATATAAACACTGCTTTTATTATAGTGGCCTAACCACTATTGGTGGGATAAATAACAAGTAAGAACAGATTAACTGCAATGTTAGCGCGACTGATTTGTCACAATCTTGTACTCAAAAGAAATGATAATCAATCATGTTTATTTTCTGACCGGTATTTGCTCTAAAGTGGGCACACCAGAGGGTAGAGCAGCTCTTCATATACGTTTAGACATCACATCAATGACAGCCTTCGATGAAATAGCCTTCAGATATTTTTACATACAGAGTGTGATGTTACTTCCTGCTCAGCTCCAAGTATAAATTAATATCTGAACCGCAGGGCTCGCGTGCCTCTCAGTGGCACTCCGCTCCAATTCAACAGTTATTGATTTCCCTTATAAGCCACAAGAGTCGACATTAAACCCCGGCAGGTCCGGAGGGTGGCTGTGACGAGCCTGCGTGTGCTCAAAATGTCATGAAACTGCAGAAGGAGTGAAAGGAATCTGTCGAGGACACTCTGTTCACACTCATTAGTCAGCCTATGTGTCGGAGGAGGCATCAAGGCGCATCAGCCCCAAAACACATAATTAGATGCTACTTAACTGCACAAGTGCTGCACAGAGTGAACGACTCCGTCAAGCTGCTGCGCTCACTTTTTGATTTGCCAAACTCTTGTGCACATTAAAAACACAACTGAATTATTGAAAGCTGATCAGATCAACGGTGAGAATACATTTACCATTAACTATGCATGCTGATGTTGTCGTCCTCGCATCGAAAGCCCTGCCCTTCGCTCTTTCCCTTTCTCTCACTCCTTTATCTGGGCAGTGAAGCTCCTCCGGCTTTCAGTTGGCTCCAGTTACACCGTTGTATCAAGTGATCACATGGTGTCTTTTTCAAGAGCGGTAGAAGGGAAATGTCACAGGCCACAGAACTTTCACTAATTTGGGATTTAAATAATAATTTTAAAAAAACATTCCTCAGTTTGCCCGTTGGATATGAATGTGTCCTCCTCAAAGCAGACAATACTCTGAGGAGATTTTCTGAGGAGAACATACGTTTTACTTCCTCATTGTTTGGGGTGTCACAGATCCCACTGTTGTATATGTAGAGATAGCAATCATTGCTATGTAACATGTTTTCCCCTCCGACCTTATTAAAACATAATATCTGGAAAAGTTCCCACGTGGCACTTTCTTTTTGACACAACCTAAACTTGCATATTCAATGAAGGTGACAAAACATTATTACATCAAGTAAGGAAATATTTCTTTCTGGGGTATGGATGGAAAATTATGTATTTCTTTTGTTTTTCAATAAATCATTCATAAACAAATGTAGAGTAGGTTTTCCTCCATAGTGAGGAAACTTAACCTGTTAAAATCCACCTGCCCGCTGGTGGGTTAGGGGTGAATGGTTGGTTTTGAATGATGGTATCAGGGTTAGGATTATTATGTGATTACCCATCGTGTTTAAGCAGGTGTCACAGACTAAAAACAGAAGTGTCCATAGTTTCCATAGAGGCCTCCAAAAGGTAGAAATGATGTAAACGTTAAAGCTATTCTCTTAAAAATTAAGAAAAGTCATGAAGTACCAAGGTGATAAAATAATGTTTTGAATGCTATGTTTTTTAAGCAGTTTACACTAACAACTCTTCATCAATATATGGTGACACGACAGAAAAAGATTCATGGAAGGGAGAAGCTCAAAGCATAATGACGAAATACCGTTCCCACAACTGGGTCAGTAGTTCCTAAAAACTTCCACACACACTCACCGAGGCCTCCCGCTCCCAGGAAGATCCCTCCTACAGCATCGGCGTCACACTGCCTGGATATCCCGATGATGATGCAGCCCGCCACAATGCTGAGCAAGGCTGATCCCACCCGTAGCCCATGGTACTCCCCAACGCTGACGGGGTTCATTCAGCAGGTGGAGGCCCCCCCCACCTGCTCCTCAGACACACATACACACACACACACACACACACAGACGCAGACACACAGACAGTGAACAGTCTTGATACTACACTCTGCTTCAGGCCCTCACTGCCAGTTGCACCTTCACTGACATCTGCACCAGCCTCCCATGCTTTCACTCTCTCTGACACACTTCTCTGGCGAAGCCTCCATCTCCGTTCTCCAAAGCTCAAGACGTCTCATGCATCTTTAAAGACTGAGATCTGGTTTCCGTTGCCACCGAATATTAAAGCTTGATACGTGTGCCGCAAATCTGATCACAGCCCTCTTCCAACCAGCACTGGCATCTATAGCATCACATACGCAATGAATAGCTCGAGTGTCATTTTAGTGAATATGAACACCAAAATGACAAACAGCTGTGAGGCTGTCTTTAGCATGTGCAGAGTGTCACGCACTTAGAAGTACAAGGCCAGAGCAGCACAGAGGCACAGAGAGAGAGAAGGGGAGATGGAGAGAGAGAGAAAACGGGTGACAGTTAGAGAGACGGAGTTAGAGTATGTGCTACTTGTGTGATTTGTCTGTGAGCTTGAAGGGAATGTGTAATGAAAGGTTCAGAGAGTCCTCTACAGTGGGGGCCCGAGGCCATCCACAAAGGCCTGCAGTTGCCATAGGAATAGCATATCCATGGCAACAGAGGGAAAAGGAGGGTAAGCAAGATTAACACAGGCGAATAGGATAACAAATGAACTTAGTGGGGAGAAAGAAAAACACGTTTCCTGTTGGGCAAGTCTATGTCAAGTCTGTATATGTCTACATCTATTATCAATCAATGCTGGTTATATGGTGTTTGTGTGTGTGTGTGTGTGTGTGTGAGTGCATGTGTGTGCGTGACATAGGCCGCCTATAACTTTGTGACCCTTTAAGCGACCCATTGTCAAAGGTTATATCTTCGTGTGTCAACGCTTGAAGAAAATAATAAGAAGAGTGTTTGCTATGTTCTCTAACATCTACCAGAAAGTCAAGCTCCCTCAAGGTGTGAGTGCATAAGAAGGGAAATGTTATCATCTTGAAGCAAAATTGGAGTTAAGGGAATTTCTGGGAAACGAAAAAGAAATCAGTGGTGTTGTACACAATGATATGAGATGAGCATTGAAGGATGGCAGACCTTGCCGTCCTGTACTATAGTGGCACACCATCTCCAGTGTTCACATAATGAACACACTAAATCACCACAGCTTGAGCTCAGTCCGGGTTAAGCACACTCATTAAATGTGAGGCAATAACCACAAATGTTAGGTAACGACACAAATGTATCTCATCTCTCTTACGTCTCTGAGGTTAACGGCACTGTGCTATCTAATAATCAACTTCAATACATTTAAGATAAGAAAAACTTTTAGTGTCAAGGATCACTTTTCTCCCCACATTGGACGATTGTCACGACAGTAATAATGGACAGTCATTTGAGCATTTACAGCTCTGTACATGTAGTTTTACAAGATAATCTCGGAGGCTGCAGTTCTGAACATACAGTAAAGTTTTTTGATACATCATTTACATCATTCATTAAATGAATAAAAGAAGCCAGAGCGATCAAAAAAGGATGCGTTGGCCGGGAATCGAACCCGGGTCAACTGCTTGGAAGGCAGCTATGCTTACCACTATACCACCAACGCTACACATTAGCTGACAGAGTCATAACTCAACAAATGGGTTTTTATCGTGAATAGATTGTATGCTTTGTCAGTTTCTAGCGAGCGAGCGAGCGAGCGAGCGACAGAGAGCGAGAGAGAGCGAGAGCGAGAGAGAGAGAGAGAGAGAGAGAGAGAGAGAGAGAGACGACCTGCTTTACTATGGAGGACAGAAAATGCCATAAGTATAAATAAATACAGGAATAAATAAATACATGTTTAAATAAATGTTTGAATACAGAAATAAATAAAATAATAATTAAATGCTGAAATAAATACTGAAATAAATAAATGCTGAAATTAATAAATAAAATAATATTTATTTATTTCAGCATTTAATTATTCTTTTATTTATTTATTTCTGTATTTATTTAAACATTTATTCATTTATTCTTAAATCATATTCTGTCCTCCATAGTTTCATATATTTTTTTGATACTTATGGCTAATTCCATACATAGACTGGGGTCAGACTGTATTGTACAATGCATACATTTATTTGGTTCATTAATTTAAGATTACTGATGTCATCAAGGAAGCACAAAACACTTGGCCAGTACGGGTATCGAACCCGCGACCTTGGCGTTATTAGCACCACGCTCTAACCAACTGAGCTAACCGGCCAATTATTCAAGTTGCACACAAAAGATGTGATGTGTATACATTTCAAATGTGTACACAGAAATGTAGAAATAAATATATGATATGTATTTCTTTATGTCCTGTTTGATTACCAATTTTTATTTATTTATCTATACATCTATTTTTTTATTTCCATATTTATTTCAGCATTTATTTATTTCAGCTTTTATTTATTATTTTATTTATTTATTTCTGTATTCAAACATTTATTTAAGCATTTATTTATTTCTGTATTTATTCATACATTTATTAATGCATTTATTTATTTATACATAACTCATATTCTGGCCTCCATACCTTAAAACTACGAATGCCTACTAATACTCATTATGTGTGACCAAGTAAATGACTAGACTTCGTGGCGCAACGGTAGCGCGTCTGACTCCAGATCAGAAGGTTGCGTGTTCAAATCACGTCGGGGTCAATTCTTATTTCCGTTACTCACTTAAGAAACATCTTTTCATAATAAATAAATGCTGAAGTAGATACATAAATAAATAAATGCTGAAATAAATAAAAATAAGAGATCATATTAAGGAATAAATGCTAAAATAGATATGGAATTGAAGAAACCAATACATAGATAAAGAAATACGCATTCCCTCGAGGTTCTTTAATGCATGTTCTCTGGTAAGATCTAAGCATTTTCCATTGATTTTATTGAATTCAATTAATACTTTTTTTAATTCACTTCATTTCATTTTAAAACTGAACTACTGAACTGAAAGAACTTATGAGCTGTATACATGTATACCTGAAGGGATAGTAGGACACTGATAGTGTCACACTAAAGACTGCAGAATAGAATTAGATAAAAATGAGGAGGCGACATACTGACAGCAAGAAACTATTATCCAAACCAAAAACTGGGCTCGTCCGGGATTTGAACCCGGGACCTCTCGCACCCTAAGCGAGAATCATACCCCTAGACCAACGAGCCGTGAAACGCACAGAGCGCGATGAGTTGTTAGACAAAGACCTTAACAAATTCAAGCAAACATGATGGCGCTCTGTTGGCAGGTTTTCAATAATAGTTTCCTTACCTTTCTGATCACCTAACATCTCTGTTGGCAGGTTTTCAATAATAGTTTCCTTACCTTTCTGATCACCTAACATCGGCTTGTGGCGCTTGTGGCGCCTCTGGCAAATTCCACGACACTTTAGCACTACATCAAAGCCACCTGTTTTAATTTCAGAAAATATATTTTTTGCAAGAGTGCGGCGAAATAATTTATTAAAGAAAATATATTTTTTGATGATTGCATCGAGCGGGATTGGATCTCACTAGAGTTAAACAATATGTAACCTGAGTTAGTTTCATTGCAACAACAGCAGCTCGAGTTTATACAGAATGGGTGTTTCGTTGTTGTTAGCAAAATGTTTGTAAAACGGTTGTAGCTATTTGCAAAATGTCATAACTTACCTGAATGACTCCATAACATGAATTTGTTTACCACTTGCTGTAGAGAGAAATGCACGCTAGCTTGCATCTGGCTGTGAAAGCAGGTAAATGGAGAGTTTAGCAACAGTAGTTCAGGAGTCATGTCAGCTTAAAGGTAAATGTGTTGATACTCACGTAACTAGACAGCACTGTGGTAGAATTAGTTCTAATGGATGGCTAGCCACTAACTTTAGGATGAGCTTGACCATAGACGGGTTTCTGTGCAACATCATAACAAAGACGCGCGCGCAAATAGGGGGGGGGCGGAAAACAGCACTCTTCACAAGATTTTGAGATACAAATGCAGCTTCGTTTACCTTTTAACAAATACGAACAAAAAACGGAAACCAGATCCCTTCCGATATCTCGTTGCCCATAGATTCTGTTTCCATCTGCAGATATCTGTTTATCTTAATTACTTTGGTCCATACACACAAGGTATGGAGGGTGAAGGTCAATGAGGCAACAAACTGTGCTGTGCCAGCAAGCCTAGCAAGGCCCAAGTTTACCCGAATCAATACAGTAGTGAAACCAATCCTGCTTCAGACTGAGGCCCTTCTACCTCATTAACATACAGACACAGAAATACAGAAATAAATAAATGTAGATGAATAAAAATGTAGAAATGAATTCAAGTGCTATCTTGTGTAGCTTTGTATTGTGTGTCTTGTGTGTTATTTTTTGTATATCTTTGTATTATGTCTTTACCTTGTACTGTTTGTTATTGTGCTTTCCTTGTTTTGACCTGCCAAGGGACTACAGATGCAAATTACCTTAAAACTATAATCTGGCACGGTGCATCAAATGGTGACATTTATGTTTTAAACTGTACATGGTCCCTTTAAAATAAAATAAATAAATAAAAAAGATATTCGTTGATCTATTCCCTGTTTCATTATCAACCTTTATTTATTTATTAACATATTTATTTATTTCTGCATTTAATGCTTCTTAAACACCTTTTGTCCGCCATTTCGGCGCATATAACAGTGATAAATACAGTATAAATACAGTGATAAATACAGTGCAAATACAGTGATAAATACAGTGATAAATACAGTATAAATACAGTGATAAATGCAGTAGTAATATTCACTCCACTGTCTGAGAATACGCACCCGTCAGCAAAGCTGTCCACGGCATACGGGTTTTTATCTGTCGTCATGTGACCCACACTCAGCCATCTTGTGGAAAACGAAGAGAGAGAGAGAGAGAGCCACACAACTCGCATACAAACCTTGTGCTGTCAGAACAAGCCGAGGTAAGACAGCCAAAGTTTAATACACTAGCAAAGAAAATTCGTACATTTAAGTACAGTGCCATGTCAGAGAGTCATGTTCTGATGAGCTGGGGTGCTTGGGGACTGTTCTTAAACAACCATGTTTACTTGGCCTTGCAGCACCGGGCTCCAGTGACTCTGTGTGCTGGTCCGGGACGCTAGTGCGGGACGTTTTGTCAAGGAAATGTTGTGGATCCGGTCTGTTCGAAGGCCGCGTGTAGCTAGTTAGCCAACTTGTTAGCATGCTAGCTACAAGTGTTGATCATAGGGATTGACTCATGTGTCAGAGCGGTGTTACGTGTGGTATACAACGGTAGAATATAGAACAATACGTTCTCTCCTGTAATAACCGAATTTAGCGGCAACACATGTCGATCTTCACGTATGACATGCACACGTTAGCTATGATGGGTTATAACACTGCTAGCTAGCTAGCTAACATTAGTTGGCCAACTGCTGATAGCTAACGCGCTAGCATGGCCACCGTTGGCTATGAAATATACACTGGGGTGGCAGCAGCATGTAGCAAGTGGTAGTTAAACTACAACTCTGATTCCACCTTACAACACAACCGTTACTCTATTGTCAACGTTTAACCGTTGGGAGATGTGTGGGCTAATGTCAGTTACTAGTGTCATGAGTTTCAACGTTAGCTCAATTATCCATGTTAGCTACTCATTTGACTGGTTAGCTTGCTACGTTAGCTAACGTCATGTTGGTAACGTTAAGGATGATTTTCCACTAAACCTTTCCAAATGATCACCACTGCTCTAGCCAGCGTGTGACGTTAACATTAATCAGTCACGTAAATAATAGTAATATAATACAAGCTTCAGTAAGGTTACAATGTACAACATCAGAGTGGACATCTGCTGAAATAGCTTAGCTATTTGTTTAGCGTTAATGTTACACGGTGGAGTCAACAATCCTGACAACTATGCAAGAACATAGTGATCATTCATTTTTTTTCAGCTGACCGAAGCAGTTCCCCCTTATTAACAATGGAAGTCCCACAGAACCGTACAAATAAGAGTTTTTATTGGAGATTGGGCAGTCGGCGAGCTTTGGCTCTTAAATAATTTCAAACAAGTCGTAACATTATGTCGTCTTCTAACTTTATGTTCACACTGGCAAATGTGCGAAGTGTGCTGGAGAATCGGCACAAATGCTGTTAACTTAAGGCGTTAATTTATTGCTTTAAGTACTCTAACTTACACGTGGCTTATCCTGGCTTCCATATGGTCAGCGGTACTGTCTGTCTACTGTCACCGTGTGTGCCTGATGTCTGAGCAAGCCTCGCGATGTAATAAGTCCTTGCTTTGAAACCTAAGTGTAAGGGAAAGTCTTAGCAGTGGAAAACGACACACAAGTAAACAAACAGCTAATCTTGTTGGCAAAACGTGATCATTCTTTTCTGGTTATATGCTGAAGTAAAAGGCAACCCCTGTTGACAATTACAGGTGTCTGGCGAACCCTCTTTGCATGCTGAGAGACTTCCTGAAATAGCTTTAGCATACTGAAATTGAACACTGCTTGTGTGCTAGTGGGATGGGCTGTTGTAATACATTAAAGCAGGTGATAAAACCAAGTATTTCTCCAAATTCTGTTGGTCAGATTTATGCTATGATGAATACATTGTTAAATACAAACATTTACTTAAACTAATATGGTAAAACATCATAGGTTTAGTTATTCCTCTTCTGTAGATATAGATTGATTGCAAATGTATTTGGGATGGAAACAGGATTGAAGTTTAGTTATCCAGATGTTAAGATATAGTAATTGATTTTCAAAGTGCTCAACCCCCTGATGCAAGACAGCACTGCGGGGACTTAATGTACATTTATTGTCTTGAACTTGTTTTTTCAACAGTAGAATGTGCCGTAACAGTATATACTGAGTGGTACTAATCCTTTTTCTCCCTTTTCATATTTGTAGAACTTCAAGGAAGAATGGCCGAAACCCAGACACTTAACTTTGGACCAGAATGGTAAGTAAACTAGCATGAATTTCATGATTATTCTGCGAGAACTGATTTGTAGGTTGTGAAACTGCTTTTCTGTCGGGGCCCAGTGCAGCTTTTCTATACATGTTCAGACATGTCAAGTTCAGCTTATCTGTTGTCTCCCCTTTCTCTGTCCCTTCTGCTTTGACTATGCCTTCTCTCTACAGGCTCCGTGCCTTGTCTGGAGGTGGTAGTGGCAGCGGCGGTGGTGTCGGTGGTGGTGGTGTCGGAGGTGGCTGCGGGGTCGCCTCTCCACCCCTCTCACCTGTATTGCCAAAGTATAAACTTGCAGACTATCGCTACGGGAGAGAAGAAATGCTAGCACTTTATGTAAAGGATAACAAGGTTGGTAGGCCCATGATGTCCGCAGCTTAGCTGTCGATGCGGGCTTGAAGTCAACATGATTTGCATACAAATTGTGTTCCTGCCCAGATTCAATTGACATCTTATTTTGGTGTGTTGTAACATATTCTTTCAAACCTTCATGCATCTTAACAGTGAAACCTGTGATTGTTTAGATCCCTATAGACCTACACGATAAGGAGTTCCTGCCCATATTGCAAGAGGAGCCCTTGCCGCCTCTGGCTCTCGTGTCTTTTACAGAGGAGGAACAGGTAGGAGTGCTTCTATCGGGTCTCTGTCTTGGTGAAATCAGAAACATTTCCTTCTGACTTCTCGCCCAAGCTTAGCTCTCCTCTTTGCACCGGAACTGTATTTTGGTACCTTTATTGCCAAAAGTACTTTATAATCCAATAAACTACATTAAGGAGCCAACTGGCCTGAGGGCAATATATATATATATTTATATATATATA